ACAAAAAGGGTAGGATGGGAAAAAAGAGGTTCAAACCGTCTTTCGTTTTACCCGCTGGCTGGTTAGCTACTCTGCGAGATGGCCGTGGATCGCGTTATGCAAAAGTCAGGTCGTTTCGCGTAAGCTTAGTCCTCCTCTTTTTTGCCAATTTCCCACGAGGTTGCGGAAGAATATCGTGCGTTCGATCAAATCCCTTGGAAGGTACAGTTTCCCACAGAATAAACCGTTTCCCCAGCGAAGTTGAAAAGAAGAGGATAAAGTGACAAGAAAGTTAAAGCTGTTGCGCGATTGCTCAGCGTTTTGCCATACTAAATATTCAACGTGGTAATGATCTTTATATGCGAATAAATCGTACGATATCTTCCTTATCGATTCTAAAATTCTGAAATTCTGTCTATTTATATTACGTTATATCGATAAAAGGAATATGTTAAAGAAAGACGAAAGAGCATCGAGCGAACCAGTAACGAATACGATATACATAAATTCGATGAAAAATAACGAATCAACGAATAACAAAGGAAATTTCATTGGTCGCTGATTATTCGAATAAACTTTTATCCGGTGCAGAGGCACGCATAACTGCGGTACTTTGGCCGTAGGTACCCCCTTGCAGCCGGCTACGTGGCGGAATGCGTTGGTGAATACGCTGGGTGGGTGATTTTTGCAGGGCCGTATCGGATCCTTCTCCCCTATCTTTCCGGCTGAAATATTCGCCGACGATCGCAGGACTCTCGACCGACTCACCATGGTTAATATATTTCTTGCACGACGAACGCCGTCCACGACGATCGATGAAATTTATTCACCGGCAAGCGCAAGAAATATAACTCAATTTCTAATTGCTTGCGCGCTCCGAACCAAGGAGGGTTCGGTGACCGTCGCGATTAATATATTCCGTTCTTGACCGCAACAAGGGCTTTCTTGTCCCGATCACGTGGTCCTCCGGAGTACCAAAGGGTTTTCGTTCGTGTATAGAAAGCTTATTCGTCGGTGGATGTTGATTCGAGCTTGATAAGTATCAATGGAACGTATTACGTGGGATATATTGGGCTATAACGTACGATGGCTGGAAAAAGTATTTGCACGTAGCCTTCGTTTTCGACGAAGCGCGTTTTTATCATATTTTATATGCACATCTCATTTTTACGCTATCAAACGCTTGTAATCGTATGAAATATTAAACTGTAGGAAATTTCATATACCTGAATTTCGTTGGTTGGTATGCAATTGCTGTAGCAAACACGACCACGTGGAAATGCCTTTTGTAGCTACTCTTTGCAGTTATTTTTTCGTATATTCCATCAGTTTCCTTCGTTCGCAAGTAACAGTGAAACAGGACGATTTTACGTTACATTTCCATGATATTGGCGCGTATAAAGCGTCCCTCGCAAGCTTCCATCTAACGAGCCTCGATCAGACACGTTAAATCTCGCGCTATTGTCGATTATCGATTAGGACGAGCAAGGAGGAGTTCGCGATTACGTGTAGTCGAAACTTCGTTCTATTCGCCGTTGTGGCTAATCTGAATTTTCGTAATTTTTGTATAGGTCGCAACGGAGGATTGTCAACGTTTGAAAATCGTTGGAAATATCTTGGAATTGGAGAAACATGTTACGCAGCTAGGGTCCGCGGGTTTGCTAAGCCCGTGTAGTTTACCAGGTAACTACCCCTTGCGGGTTCGTTTTTATTATTCTTTCTCTTATTACTATTATTATTTGTTCGTCTACCGACGAAACACGCACGCGTCTATCAATACGCGATCGTTACGGGAGAAGATAATTTTTTCCAAGAATTTGTCTGTCAGCGAGTAAACGGCAAACACTTTGCGAGCAGAATGTTTACACTGACTGGTAGAGAATATTTTAGATCCTACACACGTATGTACATTTCGCTGATTTGCACGTATGGCGAAAGTAGTAGAAGAATTGTTTATAATTCCGGTTGCATAAATATCAGAAGCGCCGTGTCATGTTTGATATTGATATTACTGGTACGCTAGAAACCTTCGTTGGTCTTTTTCATATTTACGCGGACATAACTCTGATGTATAAGAATCTTCACTTAACGTAGATACTTCGAAGAATGGTGTCTTGACTGGTTTTCTCACATAATCGATTTACTTCAGAGAAAGAGAGAGAAAGAGAGAGAGAAGTGGAAGGATCGTTAAAATCATACGACTTTGCCTTGGCCGTTGTTGAAGGATCTAAGAACGTTTCAACCGTTTCATTACGCTTCGAGGGAAAGAGAGATGGTGTTTCCTTTTTACGTTTTTAGCGGAACGTGAATAGTCTTATAATCGCCGTACAATTATACGCGGTGAAATATTTCTCGCTAAAGATAGCGGAAAATAAAAGTCTCGAGCAAAGAGAGCGCTATAAAAGTGTTCGTATATAGTACGAGCTGGTTCTGATTACTTTGACCCTCTGTGTCTCGACGGTAGTTTTAAACCTGCACTAAAATCAACTAAATACGTTAGAAAGCCGCCTAAGATTTATTTAATACCAGATTCTTCGCTCTTCCGGGCTATTATAAAATGATAGCAGCTTCCAGAGGCATTCATTCTTCGTTTAATTATCCCCAAATATGGAAAAGTTAAAAGGAGACAATACGACTTGTCGTCAAACTCGTTAGACATTTTTCCAGACGGAAACTCGTCTAAGAAAATTTAACGATTTCTAAAGCATGTTCGCTTTGCCACCGAATTCAACACTAACCTTACCACTTAATCAGGACAAATAACCGATTTCAAAATTTAACGTAAAATTGTAGCTGTCGTTTCTTTCGTTCGTCTAACTTTAGGTAAATTCTTCTATTAACGAACGTTGAGAAACTGATCAGTCAGACAATATAAGAATTTACATAAAGTTGGACGAACGAAACAAACAACAACGAATGTACGATCTTAAATCAAAATTTGAAACCTGTCATTTGATCGAACCTGGTAACACTGGCGTCGATATAATACGATACATAACTTCCCGTTTTTCGAACATTCGTTACATTATGACGATTCTACACGTTCAATATCGAGCTGTGTAGATACATATGGAGAAGCTACGAGCTCCTTTGTCGCAAACCTTTGAAGCTAAACGAGCAAGAACGTGTACCTCTATCGATCGCGCGATCGAATGATCCAGAAACTCGAGTACCACGGTTCGTACGCTCCTGTTCTTCCGAAAAGGTGCTCGAGGGCCTCTCGTTACGTTACGTTGTTCGACAAGAAAATTTGCCTGCGAGGTTGAACCGCGCGTATCGCGCGCGTACGTGTTCACATATAAAACTCGTATAGACACGAGGATGCATACGTACGGCTGGCACGACGGCCACCGTTGATTTATCGGTCGACATTTTTTCAGGCGATTTTTATTACGTTTTGATCCTTTCGCGCATACATTTTAACCTTCAGCTACCACAGGACGGTTCTGTGAGCGAGCGCGTGACACTCGAATCGCCCGGTAAAATCTCCGCTATCCTCTTTGCTTTTTTCCCACAAGTCCCGGCTTCGTCGGCTTCC